GAAGTGAAACAATCATCTAAAAGAAGAACAAAGTTGGTGTCATCATACTACCTGATTTCAAAACTAACAATAAAGCTACAGTATCAAGTCAGTGTAAGAACTTTTAAGATGCACCCTCCTAGCAACTTTGAAATATGCAACACAATATTAATAACTATTGAGGTGCCTGGGTGGTTTAGTTGGTTAAGCATCTGCCTTCAGCTCAGGTCATGATCCCCGAGTCCTAGGAATGAGCCCCTTGTCAGGCTCCCTGCTCAGCAGGGAGTCTGCTTCTCCCTCTCCCTCTGCCCTCCCACCCCCCTCATTCTCTCTCTCTCTCTCTCTCTCTCTCTCTCAAATAAATAAATAAATAAATAAATAAATAAATGTTTAAAAAATATTATTAACTAGGGGCGCCTGGGTGGCTCAGTCATTAAGTGTCTGCCTTCGGCTCAGGTCATGATCCCAGGGTCCTGGGATGGGGCCCTGCATCGGGCTCCCTGCTCGGCGGGAAGCCTGCTTCTCCCTCTCCACTCCCCCTGCTTGTGTTCCCTCTCTTGGTGTGTCTCTCTCTGTCCAATAAATAAATAAGTCTTTTAAAAAAATATTATTAACTAGTGTCACCAGAAATTTGTACTTTTTGACCTCCTTCAATAGACTCCTTCAATCTCTAATACATAACAGTAAATCCTGGAGGAATTCTATACAGAATCCAGATTCAAGCTCAGCAGCAACTGGGGAAACAAATGACAAAGCAAGAGAAAAGCAATTACATTCTCAGATTTAAATACTTTTTCTTTCACTAAAAGTTTGAAAAAATTATGAACTTCAACAGTTCTATTAAAATCTAAATACATGGGGCACCTGGGTAGGTCAGTTGTTTAAGCAACTGCCTTTGGCTCAGGTCATGATCTCAGGGTCCTGGGATGGAGCCCCACATCTCATTGGGCTCCCTGCTCCTCAGGGAGTCTGCTTCTTCCTCTTTCCTCTGCCCCTCCACCCTGCTTGTGTGTGCTCACTGTCTCTCTCTTTCAAATAAATAAAATCTGGGGCGCCTGGGTGGCTCAGTTGGTTAAACCGCTGCCTTCAGCTCAGGCCATGATCCCAGGGTCCTGGGATCGAGCCCCACATCGGGCTCCCTGCTCATGCAGGAAGCCTGCTTCTCCCTCTGCCTGCCGCTCCCCCTGCTTGTGCTCTCTCTCTCGCTCTCTCTCTCTCTCGCTCTCTCTGTGTGTCAAATAAATAAATAAAATCTTTAAAAAAAATCAAATAAATAAAATCTTTTAAAAAATAAAATAAAGGGTGCTGGGTGGCTCAGTCATTAAGCGTCTGCCTTCAGCTCAGGTCATGGTCCGAGGGTTCTGGGATCGAGCCCTGCTTTGGGCTCCCTGGTGGGCGGGGAGCCTGCTTCTTCCTCTCCCACTCCCCCTGTTTGTGTTCCCTCTCTCGCTGCCTCTCTCTCTCTGTCAAATAAATAAATAAAATCTTTAAAAAAGTAAAAAAATAAAATAAAATCTAGATACATGTAAAGATACACAATAAAATATACAAGTATCAAATATATTTGGACCATATTTACATGCTGAATTATTTAGTAGTCACCTAGGTATCAGGACTACTGGTTTTCCCATTTCCTACTTTATTCAGTCGTTTATCAAGCAAATATTTATTGAGGGCACATTTTGTTCCAGGCACTATGACAGGCAATGGAATTCTAATGATGAATTAGACACAGCCCTCTCTACAGTCTTACCCTCCAAACTGGGAAATGGTAAATAAACAGTGATTTCATTTAATCTGACATGCACTGTGGAGGGTTGGTCTAAAGACAGGATATACAGGAACACAAACGAGAGGCACTTCTCCCAGAGTTTTGGACTTATTACAAGCCACCATTCTGGTGAGGCTGATACCTGAAGGATGAGGGAAAATTATACAAAACAGAGGAAAGAAGCACACACAAAGAGGTAGAGGAGAACATCTGTAGAATTAGAACTAGTGATCTAATTTGGAGATTTTATAATGTCAGCCATTAGCCATAGTACTTCTTGACAGCTATTTGGACTTTAAAGTAATTGCTTGACTAAATGCCACTAGAAGACAGTGTCTTTCTGACCTTACATTATAAACATGATGAGTTGATGATGCCTCATATTGTTAGATAATAGTTTCAGAGTGCAGGCTGACAGTTTCATAGGGAAGACAGAAGGAAAAGGGAAAACTATAGCCAAAAATAGAAAATAGAAAAAAAATAGAAAGGCACACATAGTGACCTTTTTTTAGAGCTTAAATGCTCTGAAAGATCATGAATAAATAAGGAATAATTACATTTTTCAACATATGTTAATGTATTTCATTAGATGTGTATAGGATAAAATATAACATGTCTTATTCAAACAATAAAATGGGATGCCATTTACTGTTTATAGTTTATCTTAGAAATCAAAGAGATGTAAATTTATTTCCCATATTCCATCAATAGATCTTCTTCTTTCCAAGTCCTACTCCTTCTGAAATAACAGCCAAATATCATTTAATCATCTTTAAGAGATAATAAAGTAGGAGTGACACATTTTAAAAACCATTAGTAAGGCTTAGGATTCAGAAAGTTCAACTGAGGCCCTTATTTGGCAGTAATAATAAAAAGATTGGTCATGGGTGCCTGGGTGGCTCAGTTGGTTAAGCGACTGCCTTCAGCTCAGGTCATGATCCTGGAGTCCCAGGATTGAGTCCCGCATCGGGCTCCCTGCTCAGCGGGGCAGTCTGCTTCTCCCTCTGACCCTCCCCCCATCTCATGTGCTCTCTCTCTCTCATTCTCTCTCTCTCAAATAAATAAATAAAAATCTTTAAAAAAAAGCTTTAAAAAAATAAAAAGATTGGTCATAAAAACTTTCTTAAAAAAAAAAACAAATCAAGGGGTGCCTGGGTGGCTCAGTCTTTAAGCGTCTGCCTCCAGCTCAGGTCATGATCCCAGGGTCGTGGGATCCAGCCCCATATCGGGCTCCCTGCTCAGCAGGAAGCCTGCTTCTCCCTCTCCCACTCCCCTGCTTGTGTTCCCTCTCTCGCTGTCTCTGTCAAATAAATAAATAAAAATCTTTAAAAAAACAAACAAACAAAAAACAAATCAAAACCAGAAGTGAGACTTACAGTTGGGGTGGAGGAAGAGCAGTTTCTTTATTCATTTTTAGGCCTGAAAGAGAGAAATCCTGATAATGGAGTTTGTGGTGGCTGACGTTTTAGAAAGCACAGTTTAGAAAGTACTAATTTATGTCTTCAAAAGTAGTAACAAGACTTATTTTATACAATTTAGACTGAATCCACAGCCCTTTGAGCATATTTTAAATTTAACTCTACATTCAATTGTACTGTTGACCGGCCTTTGAAAAAGGGTGTTACAGTACAAAGAGCAGGGACTGCTGAACCAGACTACCTAGATCAGAAACCCTGTCATGCCGTTTGTCAGCTATGGGATGTTGCCAAAATCATTTAATCTCCCTGGGTCAGTTTTCTTATGCATAAAGCAGGAATACTTATTTATAACACAAGGTTGTTGTAAACTTAAATTAAATAAATATCTCCCGTGCTTGGTATTGTCAAACCTTCAATAAACTTTTGCCAAGTGAATTAATATTAAACAGGTTAGTGATATTTAATGTCAAATTAGACTTTGGACTCCAAAGATAACCTTTTTCTGGTTTTGTTTTGTTTTAGGATTAAATAAATTTATTTTTAATTCTTTTGGGGTGTGGTTCCAAATCCTGGAAAAAATGATTTTTTAAAAAAAATATTGTATTTATTTATTTTATAAAGAGAGAGATAGCAGGGGGAGGAGCAGAGGGAGAGAGAAGGGGAGCAGAGGGAGATTGACAAGGGCGTCAATCCCAAGACCCTGAGATCACAACCTAAGCCAAAGTCAAGAGTCAGATGCTTCACCTACTGAGACACCCACACACCCCTCGAATAAATGATTTTTAAAGAGATCCAATAAAAAAAAGAATCAGAAAATATAGATAATGTTTTTTTTTTCTTTCTTACACAACAAATTTATTTTCTCACAGTTCTGGAGCATATAAGTCCAACATCAAGTTGTCCGCGGGTTTGGTTTTTTCTGAGGCCTCTCTCCTTGGCTTTTAGATAAGACACCTGGTGCCTGTCTTTAGCGGGTCTTCCCTGTGTGCCTGTGTTCTATCTCCTTTTCTTATAAGGACACCACTCACAGTCAATTAGGTCCCACATTAATGACTTCATTTTAACTTAATTACCTCTTTAACCCTATTCTCCAAAACAGTCACATTCTGAGATACTGGGGTTTGGGACTCCAATGCATGAATTTTGACGGGATTAAATTCAGCCTGCAACACCCCTCTGCCCTACAACCCTGTTTTAGCAGTGGCCTTTCCCCCTTAAAGATGATTCTATTTAGTTTTAGGGGTAGTAAAATAATTGGCTGCTATATTTTAATTATTAGAAACAATTCTGCTAAATAAGAACACAGGCAGTCAGAGCCCAGTCGAAGGGACTTGATAGGGCTGGCGGGGGAAGAACTTCGCAGTCAGTTGGAAAGGAACGCGGGTCAGCGGGTGGCCCATACAAACGGCGCCAAACGCATCTCTGGGCTCTTTAACTCATACGTATTGGGGGTGGCCACGTGACGTTCGTGTTCCTGATGACCATTGAGCTGACCCTGGTACGTGACTTCAGTTTACACAGCACTTTGACAGGCTTTGTCTCTCTTAAGCCTCCTGTCCCCGGGGGGTGAGGCTGGTGGAGATTTGTCAGTGGCCAATTGTTTACTCTGCCAACATTCCAAAGAGCAAAATGTGCCCCTGTCCGGGAGTGTGACGCGCTCCTGGGACAGTTACTCAGCGACACCCCGTAGCCCTTGCGCCCCAGATTCAGACTACTCCGCCCTCTGGACGCATGCGCAGTTGCGGAGCTCTTCCTGCGAAAGAGCTGCAGATACCCTAGGCTGACTCTTCAGTGCGGCAGCGAGAGGGTCTCGCTCGGCTCTACGTCACTTGTGTGCGACGGCGCCTGCGCCGGACACCATGCTGTCAGCCCAGCGGCGAGGTCTGGTCCTCCTACGGCTGCGGCGCCTCAGGAGGTGGCTAGGGCTCGGAACTTCTTCGTTCCTGCGGGGCCTTGGGCGAGAGCCCTTGGAGACAGCCCGGTCACTGTGTTGCGAATCCTCGCCTAGAGACGCACGAGACAGAGAGGGACGGCGCGAAGCGTCACGGAGCAAAGCTCCCAGCACAGAGTCGCCTCCATCTCTCCCTCTGCGCGTCCGAGGCACTGGGATCGGATGTCTTTCGTCACTGGAAGTCCTCAGACTGCCGACGCCAGAAGAGGAGTCACCCTCTCGAGAGCGCGAGGACTCGAGCGGAGACCAGGGCCAGCCCGGTCCCGCCCACCAGGGATCCGGGGGTCCCTTGCCTCCCTCCTTGGCCCAGTCTGTGGCCGAGGTAGAAGAGCTTCCTGGCTCCTCTTCCTGGCCAGCTTCCAGGGAGGGGCCCTTTCGCGTTGGGGAGCTGATCTTAGCTGAGACTGGGAAGAGAGAAACACAATTTAAAAAGTTATTTAGGTTGAGTAACGCCGGACACTTAAATAGTAGCTGGGGTACTGTCCCGTTCAGCGAGATCGTGGGAAAGTTTCCGGGCCAGATACTGAGGAGTTCTTCTGGTAAGCACCTCATGCTGAGGAGGCCGGCATTGGAAGACTATGTATTACTGATGAAAAGAGGGCCTGCCATAACGTATCCTAAGGTAATGCGGTGGGAGTTGGGTGCGTATTGGTTCCAGAAGGAGCAGAACTACAGCCCTGATTCATGAACTTAAAGCACATCTCAGAACGTTTAAAGTTTTTATGTTCTCAGACTTAAAAAACAAAACAAAAAATAACGGATGTGACTTTAACATATTTTATGATTGCGAGTTTTAGGAAACAGCCACCTTTACATTTTAATTTGGGAGTGTTGATTCATCTGTAAAGTGAAAAGAATATTGACCTACTATATAGAGTTATGTGAACTAATCAGGCACATAATAAGTACTTATATTTGTTCCCCATAACCCTTAAGTTTGCAAGTTCAGGACTCGAGAATGTTCAACTCTTTTGGTACCATAATGGAGATATTTTAATCATCATTTAATTAAATAAAGCATGTTACTAGGGATATGTTTTTTTTTTTAAAGATTTTATTTGTTTATTTAAGAGAGAGAGAATGAAAGATAGAGAGCACGAGAGGGAGGAGGGTCAGAGGGAGAAGCAGACTCCCTGCCGAGCAGGGAGCCCGATGCGGGTCTCGATGCGGGTCTCGATGCGGGTCTCGATGCGGGTCTCGATGCGGGTCTCGATGCGGGTCTCGATGCGGG